ACTGTGTCCGCCAGTGCACGTTGTCGTTCGCAGAACTGGTGTCGCAGGGGGTCCCCGCGGGGCAGTCCGGTCGGCCCGTAGACCGCCGACAGGAGCTGAGCCAACTCACGCACGTCCCATTTGCCGAGGCCCATTGGGGGTGCACCCCCCCTGCCACGAAAGATGTTGGCGGCGAGCGCCCTATAGCTGGAGAAAACCTGGGGTCCCATGTTGCGGAACTGGTCCACCGCCATTTCCAGGCGCTCCTTCGGTACTACCTCGTAGCCAATGTTGACGTAAGCTGCCAGTGCCTCGGGAAGCACCACCGCAGGTGGCGCTGGCAGTGCAATCTCGATCTCCTCGACGTCGGCCACTGCTGCGCTTTCCAGTAGAAGGGTGGGCAGGGTCGCAGCCACGCCTCCACTGGCAAGTCGTGCGAACCCAGGGTATGGCTAGGCGCCGAGATGCAGCAACCCCGACACGAACAACCCCCGCACAGTGGCCCCCGCCCCAACGACAACTAAACACCTCGCGGTGCCATCTTGTGACCACGACACGGTGGAAAAGAAAACGAGTCCGCTAAAAAGGGTCGGGTTGCACGCATGATCACGCCAAGATACATGTAAGGCATCTCTGTCAAGGAGCCACTGGAATTACCGGGCATTCTGGAGCTATCGGGGTTGCCGGGCAGCGCAGAACCAGGAGTATGAGAAGAAGGAGGAATAATAATATGCAGTAGGGAATGAGGATAGAAAGACATTGGCGAAGACTTCGGGTACATGCTGTTCTCTCAGGAAGGCTCCAAGAGGGCTCCAAGATGGCCCCAGGTAAAGTGTGCAATTGCACGCCTTACTTGGGCCCGATTAGGGCCCTCGTAAAGCTCTCTTAGGGCCCTCTTGGAGCCCTCTGAGGGCCCCGGGCGAGCCCAACGGAGACCCAAGAGGGCCCCAAGGCGGCCTCAGAGGGGAGCCCAAGTAAGGTGTGCAATCGCACACTTTACTTGGAACCTCTTGGAAGCCTCTTGGGGCCCTGTTGGAAGCCACGTGGGCCCTTCCCAAACGGCCTGAGAATTCCCAGGGTGGCTCCAAGAGGGCTCCAAGAGGCTCACATGATGGCCCCAAGTAGAGTGTGCAATTGCATACCTTACTTGGGCCCTCTTGGGGCTATCTTGGAACCCTCTCAAGGCCCTCATGGGCCCTCCTCGAGCCCTCTTGGGGCCCTGAGGGCCCCAGGCGAAGCCCAAGGGGGTCCCAAGACGGCCTCAAGGGGAGCCCAAGTAGAGCGTGTAAGAGCACTTCAAGACGGCCCAAGAGGCCCCCAAAAGGCCCCAAGAGGCCCCAAAGAGGCCCCCAAGAGGCCCCAAAAGAGGCCCCCAAGACGCCTCCAAGAGGCCCCCAAAACGTTCCCAGGACATCCCACAACGACTTGACTGCACGTGCTCTCGACGTGCACCCCGCGAAGCAACAGGAATCCACGTCCAGAAGTGAACTGCTGCCGGAAGCAGGTCGGGCCAACGCCTTAATGAAATGTATCCTATGTATCAAATTATTGCAGACTTGCTACATACTGTATTACTTCACATTATGTACCCCCCTACCCCCCAGGAGTCGCGCCACATCCGTCGACCGAAAGATGGCGGACCTTTTTTGGACCTCAACACCCACCAAAACCTAAAGAACATCTATGATGAGGGCCTCGTGGGCTTCTTGGGGCCCCAAGAGGGCCTCAAGACGGCTCAATATAGCCTCCAGACGGCCCAAGACGGCCCCAAGACGGCCCAAGATGGCCGCAAGAGGGCCCCAAGAGGTTCCCCGAGAGGGCCTCTGGAGGCCAAAAACATACATGTGCCTCAGGTGTTAGGAAGGTTTTAGCTGTCTCGCCTTTTTGGACTCTCGGGTGCCCACGACGGCCCAACCAGCCTCTAAGATGGCCCCAAGACAGCCCAAGAGGCCCCCAAAGAGAGCCCCAAGACGGCCCAAGAACGCCCTAAGATGGCCCAAGGAGGCCCGCAAAACAGGACCCCAAGAGAGCCCCAAGGCGGCCCCGAACGCCCCTCTAGACGACCTCCGAAGGGGCCAGACGGCGCAAGAGCGCCCCAAGACGGCCCAAGAGGCCCCCAAGAGGCCCCAAAAGGCCCCAAAGGAGGCCTCCAAGAGGCCCCCAAGACGCCCCCAGGAGGCCCCACATCGACTTGACTGCACGTGTTCCGAGCGTGCACCCCGCGAAGCGAGAGGAATCATCGGAACCTCCGACAAACCTGGAAACCTCGGTCCTGGCGAGGAGGGGTAACCTGGCGCTGGCGGGGAATCCGTCACGCCGACGCCCGAGGCTTAATGTTAATGCTGTATTTTGGCTCTCCGTGCCTGCGTGCTCTCGAGACGCTGGACCTCCGCCGCGAGGGCGGACAGGGGTGGCTCTCCTGCCCTCTGGAGCGCCTTCTTTTTCTTCTTCTCGAGATTCCCTACGATATTCTCGCGAAGTTCCCTTGCTCTCCTGCCCTCTGGAGCGCCTTCTCCTTCTTCTCGTTTGAATCCGCCGACCCCCGCTAGCTGGGGTGAAAAGGCATGTGGGACATTTGGTTGTCCCCCTCTCCGTTTCCCCCTCCCCTAGTTTGAAGGGGGCTGGAAGGCCCAGCCAACAGCTACGCCTCAGGCGAAACCGAACTCTAACTCTGTTGTACCGTAGTAACGATAGTCCAAGTATGAGAAGAGATTAGGAAGATCCTTTTTGGTCTCGATAGCGGTTGTGTGCCTCGCAGCGAGGCACAGTCAAATGTGGGCGGCCGGCCGCTTGAGCCGACGCGGCCGCGGGCGCGCGCTAGCTTCCACCCCTTGCGTCCTTCAGCTCGCTTTAGAGTCGGGGGGGGGGGGGGGGAAGAAGCGTGAGCCTGTCGCCCCTATACAGCAGGCATAGCAGCTAACCGACACAAGGACAGAAAAGGAAGCGGGCCTAAAGGAAGGTGGACCCGCTAGCAAGTTGCCTCGCATGTATATGACGCACACTCACCAGGCGGCGTCAGAACTTGATGTTTGGCCGGCCCGATATGGAGTATGTCTCTTCAGGTCATGCTTGAAGGTCTGCGTGCCTCCCATGACTTGTAGGGGCATTTCTCTGTCGATGCCCCCCTTGGTGTGGCCATCCGCAGTCATACCGCGGGTATCGCACAACTGAATGCTGTGCACGGTTCCACGCTCCATCATCTGTCGTATCCAACTGAAGTGTCCTGAAAGGGTACACTCAGTCGGCTTCTTCAAGTCTTTGCTTGACAAGGACTTAAAAACAGGCTCAGCATCGATGGTCAAAGTGACCTTGATGATCAGGCCACCCAACTCAAGTATCTTTCAACTGAGTGGGCGTGAGCGGCCCCGCGTGGAGCTCGTAAAAGTCGCAGTCGCGGGATAACAGTCCTCCAAATTATGGGCTGCTGCTAGTGTCTCTGCTGAATAACTCGAGCGGGCCTGCAAGCGGCGAGACTTGCACTGCGCATCGATGCAGTGAACGACAGGTTTACCAGATAACTTGTTTCCACGTCGTAGCAGGTTTGCCCCGCGAATACCATAGCCTTTGACGTCGTCATCGGCGTCTCCACTCAGGCGTCGGTATCCTGAGTCGCTGTGTAGGTCGGACTCGTCCGTGGAATTCATCGCCTGGTAGACGATCTTCTTCGGGCTGGCCTGTAGCTCTCTGGTGATCGCGCTCAGTCGTCGTACTTGAATGTTGGTCGGTTCTTGGACACGTTGTAGAGATACAACATACACCATTAAACACACCTGGGAGATTCGTGCGAATGCCAGCGCGCCCCTGAGGCTGACGAAAATGTCAACCACCATCTTGGTTGCCTGAGCGTCAGCGTCGGCGCCGGTTAGTTCGGGAAGTTGTATAGGAAGGAGCTGTTTGATATCTTCATCTTGATCCACAGTAACATTGCCGTCCTCGTCCATGGTGTATATCACAGCACAGTTGGTATGTGTGTGCTTGTTGAGTCTACACTTGCCAAAGGTATCTTCAAAGCATTTGACATATTTGTCAATGGTGTCCTCAGTGCCGGCCATATTTGTCATCAGCATGCTTGGCCGTGAGCAAGTTGTTGCTCGTCTCGAACTCCTCGTTGTAGGACGTGGGTCGGAGACCAAATCCTCTGGTGGTTCTTCGGAGCCTAAGTGAGAAAGCCCGTGGAGCGTCTTTAGTGCCTGTGCCTGGTTTTCAACGCTGCAGGCAGTGATTTGACTCGTCGTAGAGCTCGAATCCTGGGAGAGTCCGGAGCACTGTGGCCGATCCAGGTGGCAAAGTAAAACACACCACGCGTTTCATTTCACCAGTAGCCTCAACATGTTCTTGATCGGTCAATCTTTTCAGGAAGGCCATGTTGCTGTCGAGGGAAGCAATGATCCACTGCTTCTTGCACGCTGCCGCGCTAGCGCGTAACCTCTGGCTCGACCGTCTCGCCGTTTCCGAACATGTTTCTACGTCGAAAGCTTCGAAGTCCATGGGGCCTCGGAGAACCGAGCGTAGTCGGATGGTGCGTTCCATCTCGCCCTTCTCGTTCTTCACGAACTTCCATGTGTACACATATCTCGATGTCAGGATGTCCGACGCTCTGGCTATCTCCTCAATATTAAAGCATTTGTTGTCGAACCATGTCTTGAGTTCAGTGCAGGAGCCTTCGATACTTTATCGGGATACGCCTGGATGTCAGCTTTAGCGAGGAGGTCGTCTTCCTTGACGACCACAGCTCGCTTTGCCGCGGCGGTAACGTATACTCGCATAGCGGTCACCCGGTCGGCATCTAATATCACGCGTTGTTGCTTGGACAAGACTACCTCGGACAAGACTACCTCGCATCGACCATTTTCGTCTGAGTCGAGTCCGTAGCTGTCGTCCTCGACCATGGTGCACATGAGGGCGTAGTACGTCTCATCGGTATCGGAGTCGCGAGTGCGCCCCCACTTCGGCAGGTGCCCCCGCTGTTCATCAGCTACAGTGATCAGCAAGCTTTGATCTGGAACCAGCTGTGTAGGTATGGTAAAAAGGTCCTCTGGTGGAGTTCCCTCCAACAATCCCCTTTGCTCTCGTAGTTCTACATACCACACCTCCATAACATGCGACTGAAGATCAGCCTCTCGTTCTTCGTAAGTCGTAGAGAGCCGTCCGTCATCATGTGCTGGTTCGGCTTCTGCGGCTTCTCCTGCGGTTCCATCCGGTGTCGGTGTATCTGCCAATTCATCAAATTCTGACATGTCCTGATCAAAACCTGCTTGAGGTTTAGTGGACTTCAGGCATTAATTCGTGAATGTGCTGGTCCAGTTATATCGTGTATATTCAGAGCAGTACCTTCTGCTTCGTAATCGTGAAATCCTGGATTCACGTCGTTGTCGCAATGGACCAACGTGCAGCTGTCGGCATAAGTAACCGGAGGTTGCTTATGGATACTCTTGGCTAACCTGACTGAGTCTACATTCTCAATGCGAAAAGACGTTTCTGATAAAGTACTGTAGAGCCAAGTGTAGCTTAGGAGATAGACGGATTGCGGTCGTCAGCTGAAGCGCCCCTGTCTTGGTCGGCACATAGCCAAAGGTCAAAGCAGGTCTCCCCGCTGATAGGCTGGCTACGAGTGTTAACACTGTGCGGAGTGCAGTGTTGTCGGAGCCAATTTCTCGGGCTATGAGTGCTTCAGTGTATTGACTACCTACCAGACCACCCCAACCCAACCCGAAGACCCGAATTTCGGGTTGGGGGGGGTAAGGGTTCCACATGTGTTTTTTTTCGATGTTTCCCGACCCCCCCCCCCCACTGGAAATCGAAGGTAAATTTGAGCCTTCGGGTTGGGTTGGGGTGGTTTGGTGGGTGGTGATGTATAATGGATGCCTTGCATCGCCGTACTGTATTTGAACATCTCGGTTGCCCACTCGGATGATGACCTGACCCCTTTTCGGAATCATTCTTTACAACTGGGAACGGGCCATTCCAGCCTCCCCAGTCATCCTTCGCGGTCGTAAGGTGATGGTAGTCGACCAAGTCTCCTTCGTCATAGTAGTGCTGACCGGTAATTGTCGTCTTAGTGCGTAAGGCACGATTGGTATTAGCTACTGCTGTGGCCTGTGTGATAGCTTCAATACATACCCTGCGTATCGTCTGTTCACGAGAGTGATCCGATATTTCCGTCGGCTGTTCGTGGTCCAGAACAGGTCGGTCAGGGAGCATTGCAGGTTACCGTCCAAATCGAGCGTTGTACGGAGACACCTCGCTATAGAAGGTGAACGCGTTGGCGGCGAACAAGGCTTCGTGTAGTAGTCGGGTGAACACGAGGGGTATGTCTAACCCATTGAGTTCAGCCTCCATGACGTGAAGTAAATGGCGTAGGATGTCACTTCTAGCCTCGACCGTTGTAGCATGCTGTCCACGCGCACGTATCCTAAGTTCAATGCCATTTGCCTTGAGGACTGCTTTCGCAGTGTCGTTGTTAAGGGCGCCCTCTCCATCAGAGTAGAATACCTTCGCCGGTCCAAACTGCATCCAGCACTGATGATATGCATCCAGGATGCTGGTCATAGTCTTGTCTGGTATTTCAATCCCAGTAGCACACCGTATACAGCGATCGATAATGTGGAATATATTGTGTGCTTGTTTGTAGAGCATCAGATCACATTCCACTTCCTCATTGAATTTGCCAGGTAATGTAATAGAGGGCATAACAGCGTGTCCAGGCTTGTCCCAAGCTCTGCATTCCCGGCATGTGTCACAGACACCTTTGATGAGGTTGAGTCTGACACTGTCCAGACCTATCTTGCTTAAGACGAGTCTCATCTTATAATCATTCGCATGAGCCCAACGTAAGTGTAACTTTCGCAACTCGCGTGTTACCACGCTGGGGTCAAGGCCTAGTAGGTTTTGTAGAATGCTTTGTACATCGAACCGTGACCAGTCTGGTAGTCGTGGTCGTGCAGCAGGGTTCCCCGCCGGTGGTGGTGGAGGTGCTTCTCCACCTTGTTGTCGACCACGTCTGACTCTAACCTGTGGTAGTCGGAGGTGGCCATCCGAACTGCCAGCTCCACTCGAGGCACGTTGCCCTGCAGCAGGCTCAGCAGCATGTCTTCCAACAGTCATGTCGCGGCTGCTTGCGCCCGCGGTAGGTCCGGCTCTCGAGCCGGGTCTCGGTGCTCTCAGCCGCGTAAGTGGTGATGCTGCTGGCGCCTCGGGTGGTGGTGCTGCTACCTCAGCAGGATCTTGTGGTGCAGGTCCTGCTGCCGGCTCGGCGGGAACCGGCGGTGTCTGTCCATGATTGTCGGGCGACTTCCAAGGCTTGGCAAACTTGCATTTGCCGAGTGTTAGTGCGTGCCCAGGCTTGTTCTTCCCGTAGTTCTTCTTACAGCTCGGACATTCCCCATGGTAGTCGTCCTTATCGCACCACCTGCAGTGTCTCGGATCTCTATCATGAGAGGGAGAGCGCATGGTAACGTTGTCCGCGCAAGCAGGACAATCCAGCCATCCCGATGGTGGTCTCGTAATCGAGCCATCAGGTTG